GAGTGACGATGATACCACTATCAAAGTCGCGCCCAGAGAGAACCGAAGAGGTGTGGATAAGTTATTGGGCAATATCAAATTAAAGAAACAACCTCCCGAAACATAATAAACCTGGTAATTGGAGGGAAGGAAGTATTATAGATGGTGACTCTCCGCAGAAATTCTAACTCGATTCATAGGATGAGTGGCTAATTAGGCTACATAGTCGATGAGAAGAAGAAAGGAAGCGATACACCCAGTACGACGATTTCGAGTCCAGGTCCGGTGGTTAATATGCTAGATGATTCTGCGCTTGAAACTTTTGCGACAGGAAGACCATTGGAGGATTCTCCTGATTTGCAAGTTTGTAAGCATTGCAAGAAGAGTGTATTGAAATCCGCGACGGAAAAGCATGTCAAAGCGTGTTTAAATGCGAAGAGGTTGAAATTGTTGAAGAAAAAAGAAGCGAAGGAAGCAAGGGATAAGGTGAAGAAGAAATTATCGAGTAAAGGTGTGGATGGGGATGGAGATACTAAGATGGGGAGTGATGATGACGACGATGATGATGAGAAAGGTCCAGGTGGTTTTAAGAGTTCGAAAAAGAGTGCCGGGAAAAATAATGGGGATGCGAAGGGGAAGAAGAGAAAGGCGGATGGTGAAGGGGAGAAGGGTCCAAAGCAGAAGAAGAAAAAGGAAGAGCCAAAACCAAAGGCTCCAAAACCGAAAGGTATGCATTTTTGTTTTTTTAAACTATTCCGGATTTTATTTCATATTTATGGAGGGATAATGGTGGGAGGAGGGAGATGGAAGTCTGGAGAGCGTGAGCCATTTAAGCCGTACTCTAAGAGAGCTTCACTATTTATCTTCAGTGTTTTCCTACGATTCTGGCAGATACCCACCTTATATTTACATCAGTTTCATTTACCAAAATATTCAATCATGGAGACCAGAAGATCAATAAGATTACATCAAAAAACACTCTCAGCTAACAATTTAACTCTATCTAAAGGTCCTGTCGATGTAGAACGACAATGTGGTGTCCTGAAAGATGGAGTCCCATGCGCTCGCTCTTTAACTTGCAAATCTCATTCTATGGGAGCTAAAAGGGCCGTTCCTGGTCGTACTTTACCTTATGATATGCTTCTTTCTCAATATCAAAAGAAAAATCAAGCCAAACAACAAAGTATGTTATTCTTTTCCTTACTTTCACTTCTGTTATTACTTCCCCTCTTTCCCTCTTGAAAGCTCAACCTCTAACCCCAGAAACAGAAGCAGCTATCGATGCCAATGCACCCCTCGAAGATGAAGATCTCCTTAATGGTCCTATCGATTCAGATGAAGAACTTCTCACCGTTCAATCTGGCCTCGCAAATTGGAATCCACAACCATTAGTTCCACCACTTATTCAATATCCAATTCAATATCGTTATAGAGATGAGAGATTATGGGAACAATTACATAATGCTACAAATGGATTTACATTGAATATTTGTAAAGTTAAAGGATTAGGAGCTCAAAAAGCTTCACCGGGAATAGAAAATGGAGAGAATGATGGGGATGAAATCATGGGAGGAATGGGCGACGGTACGAATGGAAATGGAAGTTCGGAAATGGGATTAGGAATTGTAGGACCGCCGGTTAGAAGACCTAGTGGATTTGTACTGCAAGGTGTTCCACAGAGAAAACAAAGTATGGCTGGACGTGCTTAATCTTTCGCGTCTGAAGGTGTTGTTTAATAATTACTCCGCGTCGGATCGTTGAAGATGAGAACATATTATAGATTTCGCTCTCTACATGCTGGGTTCTGGCACTTGTTTAACTAAGGCGTATGGTATGGTATGATATGGTATGGTATGGTATATAGGAGCTAGGTTGGGTTGAACCCCTCTGGATCACCTTTGAGCGATGTTACCTATCTTTATGGGAATGAATTCCACCTGCAAGGCTTACTCGGGGGCCGCGTAGATATATAAGGACCGGCCGTTTACAAACAAAACTGGTTTGGTCTGGTTTGATTGGTCTGGCTTGCTTGGTTTCTGGGGTTGGGCGGGTGGGTAGTATGGAGTTTTGTATATTTGTTTATTAGGTACTTTTCATCTTCATTGTCATCATGATTATGGATGGAATGGGAATGGGAATGGGAATGAGAGGAGATGGGATACAGAGCAGAAGATTTTATATATATATATATATATCTGGAAATGCAAAATTTGGTTATTATACTTACTTATATAGATTTATGGATTTATGGATATGATATGATTTGATTATTGCTGTATTTTTTTTTTTTTTTGTTTTTTTTTTTAGCTGCCAGGTGGGAAGGAGGGTTAAGGTTGAGGTTCTAAGTGTTTGGGATAGGGATGGGATAGGGATGGGATAGGATGGGATGGGATATATAAGAGCTATAATGTATTATATATATAAAATCCATGGTATAGTATATTGATATTGATATAGATTGGATGATTGGATGATTAATTGAAGTGTGTATATAAAAAAAGACAAGGGTTTCTTATATAAGAATTAAAATTATAAATAATGTAAACGAGAGAGATGAGAAAAATGAGATGAATAAAATAAATGTTACGACGGGTAACATATTTCTGTATCACATGACTAATCACAGGATCAGAGCTATCATGTGACCGGCTCTAATCAATCTAGTTAGAGCTTCTAGAGCCAGCGGCTCTAGAGAATCTAATTAGAGTCACTAGAGAATCTAATTAGAGTCACTAGAGAATCTAATTAGAGTCACTAGAGCCAGAACACGAAAGTCTATATAATCAAGATGGATTCCCTTTGTATAGAGTTTTATATTTAAGATCAAGATCAATCATTTAGTATACTCTATTATTAGTCACAAATTACATTATTGTCATTATTTTAAGTCCCTGTTTGACATTTAGTTATAAACCACCTCAAGAGCCTAAAGCATTTCCACATGATCTAGACGGCAAACCTCGTAACATAAATCCTCTACAAATTGAAAATCGAAATTTCAACCTTCAAAATCTCAACCAATAAAATCACAAAAAATCTGAAATTTTGAAGATTTACTAATATATATAATTAAATTTATGACTCAAATTTTCCGAAATTCTAATGATTAATTATAGAATTATTAATAACGTGGTTTATCAGCGAGCGGGCCATATCACCGAGCGGGCCACTTTTACCTCAATTTATCATTTCAAACCCATATTATTTAACAACAATTAAATCAATTGATTGAAACTATCAAGAATCTAATAATCTAGGATCTATTATACTATTCTGACAAGTTCTTGAATTATGACCAGTCTTTCCACACTTACTACAGCATCGACTAGTAGATGATTCCCTATTAAAATTTCCCCCATTTTGACGCTCGTCGCGTTGAATCTGATTATCAACCTCTTGTTGTGATAATATATCTTCAGCTTCTTGTCCAGTAAGTACTCCTCCATTACGTAGTTGAATTTTTTTAGCGCGTCGACGTTTACTTAATACCTCATTTGCTCTTCGAAGCATACGATTCTCAGCACTCAAAAGTGTAACTTCATGTGCTAATCTCTCTGTACCTTTAACTAAAGCTTGTACAGTCTCAAATATAGGTGTAGGAGAGCTTGATTGATGACGAGTTATTCGAGCTTTTACTAGAGTTGATTGTAAGAGAGCCTCAGTTGGATTATGAGGGGTTTGAGAGATCCAGGAGTTGGTAAGTTCCAAGGAGGTAGATGGAGGGGTAGAAGTACGAATCCTAATATCTAGTTTTGAAAGTATAGATTGAGGATCGAATGGTATTAGACCTGCTCCTCGAAAACCAGCTTTCATATTCTGAATAGTAAATGATTGTTGATATGCAGCTTTGAAAGCTATAAAGAATTCAACTTTAGTGATATGATTGATATGTGCCTTGATAAACTCCTCAATTTGAGAACTATATGAACGTTTAAGTACACCGAAACATCCAACATCAAGTGGTTGAGTTAAATGACTTGAATGTGGTGGTAATTTGAGGCATATAATATCATTTGATTTGCAATATGATTGAAAAGGTATTGATTCGTGGCTTTCGTGCCCATCCAATACTAGCATTCGATATTTGCCCTTTCTTTGACGAATAGTATGTTTATCGAAATGCTTTAACCATTCTAGGCCTGTCTCATTATTCGTCCATCCATTGGAAGTAGGTTTAATAGCCCAATCCGCAGGAAAATCGGTTTCGGTATACCAATTGGAAAGATGAACTTGTCCTTGAACTACCAGAAATGGAGGTATAGTTTCACCCTCTCCATTGCCACATATAATTGCTGTAGCCCACTCTCGATTGCCTGGTTGTATTGCCTTGCTTCTGCGATTTCGTTCAGCACTAGTTACAACCGATTCGCAGGGCATATTATAGCGATCATGAAGGCGGGTTTCGTCGGAAATTGTAGAAATCGGAATCGACAATAGCATATTTCGCGCCGCATATTCGATACCGATCTAAACGACTCTTCAATAAGCTTGGGATCTTCGCAGAGGAGCTTCTTTGAAAATCATAAATGCGATTAAAACGGCGTCTTTAATCTGGGACATCGTTAACAAAGCGATGA